TCAGCAGGTGAGTTTTCTGGAAAGGGCTTTCTAATCAAAGGAAAGCATTTGAGGAAAAGCACAGACAACAGAAAATACCTGGTATCATCTGGAAACTGGAAACTTTAGGCGGAAAGGGAGTTTCGGGTCCAGAAAGAGTCTGAGAAGGATACAAGTTGGCGGGGGCCATATCACAGAGACTTGCCCCACAGTCACTGGGAAAATAACACCATCACACTTGTGCCAGAGAGAGGGCCAATCGTTCTTCCAGCAGTGAGTGTACAACACAGGACAGGAGAGGAGGGACTTGGGGTGCAGGGGGGACAAAATCAGAGGCAGAAAAAGAAAAGACTGAAAATTCCAAGCAGAGCGGTTGAGGGCCTAGACCAAGAAAGAGACAAGGGAGAGATGTAAAACTTGGAAACCAGATGTGGGCAGTGAGAGACAAAGGGAGGAGCCTTCTAAGACTCTCCAGGAATTGGGTGACTGACTGCATGACTCAACAGAAAAGATCTGTTTGTTTTCATTTTTAAATTAGATATTAATTTGACTCGTGATTTGTTAGTCAACTTCTCCGGTTATTTTATCCACACAATCTTTTTTCTCCTATTTATTCTTCAGAGAGATTCCTTTGTATCTCTCAATCACATTCAAGAGGTTCTTAATTCCAATTCCAATGCACTGCACACGTAAAGAAGTTAACCAACTTGAAACACCACACATTATTAAACTAAAAATAGAGAACCAGGAAAAGGAAAATGGGATCAAAAGGAGTTTATCAGAGTTCTCTACTAGTTGTCCCTCCAGAAGCACCACTAGCAAATTTTCCAGCACTGCGTTTACATGCAGAAAGTGGTGATTCTGGAGACCCTCCAGAAGGTAGCTGCTCAGTCTACGAATATTAATTGGACAGGAAAATCAAAGGACAATTATCAGTTTTTCTGATTTAACATGATAATAGCTTTGAAAATGCACAACAACACAAATACACAAAAACATATACATACCACATACACACGCAAACTGTACACACTGTTTCTTACAGCATTTACTTTTTTTCCTTAATATTTTCCCTAAAATTGGAGGGGCAGCAATTATGCAAGAGTCCATTTTCCATCTTTGGCAACTTCCCCAAACCTGGTATCCTCACCCCCACCTACTAAACACCATGACCTACCCAACATCAACAGCAGCGTTAACTGGAATCTCAATTCCCCAAGGCCTCTCTCCTTTCATTTGCTGGGCACCTCATAGAATGCACTGCTTTCAGAAGAAACACTTAAGCAAGAAACGTAAATGCAAATCCTCCACATGAAATGATATGAGGTTAGGTTTGTAAGTGTGACAAGCCTAGAGGCTGGGAGAAGGTAGGAAAGTAGGGACAAAGTGACTAAAATGTAGCATTAACATTACAAGTTTTCCTTCCTAAATGTGAGTTTGTGGCAAAAGTGCCCATATCACAGGCAGAGATGTAACCCCTGTTCCTCTCCATAATAGAGGTAGAATGAAACCTCAGCCAAGTTCTCCTGCCCTAGCCCAGAATGTGTAGCACAGGCCAGTGTACTCTATCCAAGCCTGGCACTTAGTCTGGAAGGTTCAAAAGAGATACCCAATAGAGGGAAGGATGAGTGGCTCCCTCTGCCCCCTTCCCCAGCATGTGATGTTTCACCTAGCCATGCCATTCCTTGGCTCTGGAACCCTGGACTCATTGATATCCTCTCCTTATCTGTTTTCTCATCCCCCCAAAATAGGCACAATGCAAACATCTCACTCCCAACATTGCCCTACAGATCCCTGGGGTTAAGGGATATGGCCAGAACATTAGAAGACATTCAATAAGCAATCATTTCCCTCCCTTGACCTTCCTTTTGTCTATTCTGAAAAGACATGTTCTTCCAAGTCCTGAAAAGCTTCTATTAGTAGCGAGACAGCAGCTCTACCATAGGAGAAAATAAACAAAGACGTAGAAAAAGTCATTGGGAAAACTTTTTTTCTTCTGAACTTAAGTGAAAGAAAGGAAAATACATGAGGACTGGTAGACACAACAGAGCATAATAAAACATAATTTGTGCTTTGTCTGTTTGGACTATGTTGCCTGTTCTCTCAGAGAATAACAACAGCTCTGGGGAAACTAAAGAATCATCACCTTTACAAGTTCTCTTTTAACGGGAATATTGTAATAGTGAGACATCAATATAGGCTGAAACCTTACCACGAAAATGCCCTTCAATCCACCCAATGGGATTATGTAATTGTCCAATAAGTTTCACAAGGTCATTTTAAAATGTCTCACACCTAACTCCTCACTGTTGGCCCTCTAGCTCTAGGACGGAAATCAAGGAGGATCTACATTATATTGCAAGGTAGTTATGTATATTAGGTGTGAGACACCAAATGGACCTTCATAAAAGCACTTTTCTCTCTCAATCAGAATTATCTTCTACCACATGATTATGGCTTCCTTCTATTACTTTATTATATAAAATAGTATCAATCTATTGGTCTCATTAGAAAAAGCTGAAGAGCTATCCATTATGGAAGCTCACCATCAATACAGCATTCTGAAATGCTCCACTTTACCCAATACACACTGTCCACCAAAAACAAGATCTAAATAGGATAATAATGATTTTAAGCAAAGAGAATCTACCTTACTGATCTCTTTAAGAATCTATTATTCTGAATGTATATCTAAAAACAAGATACCAAGAAAAAAAGTATATGCAAAAATCTAAAAAATAACAACATGAAGCTTTAAACTTGAATAAAACTATAGTCAACCTTTGAACAACATGAGGGTACCCTCCATACAATCAAATATCTGTGTATAACTTTACAGTCAGCCCTCTGTATCCACAGTTCCACATCCACAGATTCAACCAACCTCGGACTGTGTAGTACGTATTTATTGAAAAACATCCACACATAAATTCCACCTTATGTTGTTCAAGGGTCGACTGTCTCCATCTTTCAAGTTTTTATCTACTTCAAAAACCAGAGGATAACATACATGTCAAAACCTTAAGACCAAACAGTGATGATGATCAACAAAATAACTTAAAATAAGTTTATATGAGATGGATTGATGAAAGCACAAAATTAAGAGGTTAAAAGCCTCACCCCTAAGAGAATCAAGATTGTTTTTAGGATTGAATTTTTAAAAGTCATATGGGTCAGTCAGATAGAAATCAGACACAAAAGAGTACAAACTCTATGATTCCATTTATATCACATTCTAGAACAGGCAAAAATAATCCAGTGATAGCCTGAGGCTCGGGGTAGGCTGCAAAAGGGCACAGGAGAATTTAGGGGGTAATAGAAATGTTCTATACCTGGATTGTGGTGGTAGTTACATGACTTGTATGTATTTGTCTAAACTCATCAAACTGTTCATTTAAAACAGGTCTATTGCACTCTATTTAAATTACACCTCAATAAAGCTAATTTTTTTAAAGTATTGCCCAGACAATATTGACACTCATTTACCCTAATTCCTTTCTAAGCGTTACAGACATGGCCTTCACGTACCTGAAGCTGTGCCACAGCATGGCGGTACCCACCATGCTGAAGAAAAGATGCTTGCAATCACATCAGGTGGAAAGAGCGTCACATTTCTCTGAATCTGAAGTAAATTTAACACTAATGCAAGAAATACTCCAATAAAAAACAGCACTACTCCTCGAATCATCAAGTTCACAGTTCGGCTAGTGACAGATGAGATATAGGGACCACACTTTTTGGGCCCAGGTGACTGTGTCTTTCCTTCCGCCATGGTTTCATAAGTTCAGTAAGTCAGCAAAAAAATTTTAAAAAGAGGAAGAAGAAATGGCTTCTCAGCTGAAAAGCCAACTGCCTGAACGAAAGCAGATTGGCGTTTCAACAATATTGCATCTCGTCCTAAAATAGGACCTACCAGAAATCCTGCAAGAGATAAGAAAAAAGAAATCAATGTGTCTAATAAATGACTATACAATGTTCCTGATTTCAATACTAATTCATTTTAAAGGCCAAATAATGAATTGACAAGCTTATATATTTATTTAAATTATTTAGTGAATAAGAAGACATTTAAAAAGCATTTTTATATGAAGGATGTAATAAAAAATAAAGTGCTAAATCTATATTTACTAGGACAGAATTAGTGGCCTAAGAGACTAAAAGGTTAGAATAATACTAAAAACAGCTAGCCCCACATCAGTGAAAAAAGCAGAACGGGTTATCTGAGACACTTCTACTAGAAACTGGAAGATCAAAATCCAGGTTTCTGTTTCTTCTACCCAAATCTCCAAGCCCAAGTAACTGATGGGCTTGGAGATTTAGGTAGAAAATTTTACGCTTTACAGAAAATAAATAAATTTATACTTTACAGAAAATCAACATATTCTGACTGAAAATGTTATATTGTTCTCAATAAAATGTGACTTGCTCATGAGGACAATCTCCATAGGGGAATAAAATGACCTCTTTTGATGTTTAATGCTGATATATGTGAATTTCCGCACAAAAATATCTTACAAAAAAACAGACCACCACCCACTCACTCACACATACACCAAGCACAGAAACCAGACCTGACCCGCTGTCACCAGGGCCCGAGTTTTGTCCCACCCCTGCCTTGACCCAGTCTGCCCTTGTTGCAATCATGGGAGCTATTGTGAGAAAGCTGCAGTAGGAAGCAGAAGAAAGCGAGCTAAGAAAATAACGAATAACCTCTTGGCTAGATGCTAAGAAGTTTGATCCACATGGCTAAAACCTAGAACTTTGCAAGTACAATCACTCTAGGTATTCACTCACCCTCTAAACCAAAGTGAACTTTCCTTTGTATATGTTTAAGACAAATAACATTTGAGGCTATCTAGGAGCTGTCCTTTTAACTCTCACAATAACCCTAACAGGTAAGTGCAATTATGTCCATTTTACAGTTGAGGTATGAAAGCAAAGAAAGGTTAAGTCACTCAACCAAGTTTCCAGCCCCAGTAAGAGGGCAAGCTGGGACTCAAATCCATGCAGTCTGTCTGGCTCCAAAGCCCTCATTCATATCATTATTATGTTCAGCCTCCCAAATTGTTACATGTTGCCCTAAATTCTTTTTCTATGAATACTTTTTTTGAAGTGGGAAACTATTATACAGACTATTTTCATAACTTACCATTATCCCACCTAACAATATATCATGGGATATTTCCTTTGAATCTCTAAGTATTTTATTTAAACCTTTACTATGGCACTTCTTACAGGTACCTTATGATGATATGTATAGTTGCTTTACAGATTACAAAACTTCTATGTAGGTCTTATTCACTATCAAGTTTTCGCTGTGCCTACATACCCAGACAGGTACGTGCCTAGCTCATAGTGGTAGCTCTACATATTCATATTTGTTTCATTAAATTAGGTTAACTCTTTTTGAATCAAAGTATATTGGGTTAAGCAGGCCTTTTTTTTTTTTAACATCTTTATTGGTGCATAATTGCTTTACGATGCTGTGCTAGTTTCTGCTTTATAACAAAGTGAATCATCTATACATATACATATATTCCCATATCTCCTCCCTCCCACCCTCCCTATCCCACCCCTCTAGGTGGTCACAAAGCACCAAGCTGATCTCCCTGTGCTATGCGGCTGCTTCCCACTACCTATTTTACATTTGGTAGTGTACATAAGTCCATGACACTCTCTCACTTGGTCCCAGCTTACCCTTCCCCCTCCACATGTCCTCAAGTCCATTCCCTACATCTTCATCTTTATTCCTGTCCTGCCCATAGGTTCTGAAGAACGTTTATTTATTTATTTTTTTAGATTCCATATATACGTGTTAGCCTATGGTATTTTATTTTTCTCGTTCTGACTTACTTCACTCTGTACAACAGACTCCTGGTCCATCCACCTCACTACAAATAATTCAATTTTGTTTCTTTTTATGGCCTAGTAATATTCCATTGTATATATGTGCCACATCTTCTTTATCCACTCATCTGTCGATGGACACTTAGGTTGCTTCCATGTCCTGCTATTGTAAATAGAGCTGCAATGAACATTGTGGTACATGACTCTTTTTGAATTATGGTTTTCTCAGGGTATATGCCCAGTAATGGGATTGCTGGGTCATATGGTAGTTCTATTTGTAGTTTTTTAAGGAACCTCCATATTGTTCTCCATAGTGGCTGTATCAATTTACATTCCCACCAACAATGCAACAGGGTTCCCTTTTCTCCACAACCTCTCCAGCATTTATTGTTTGTAGATTTTTTGATGATGGCCATTCTGACCAGTGTGAGGTGATACCTCATTTTAGTTTTGATTTGCATTGCTCTAATGATTAATGATGCTGAGCATCCTTTCATGTATTTGTTGGCGATCTGCATATCTTCTTGGGAGAAATGTATATTTAGGTCTTCTGCCCATTTTTGTAGTGGGTTGTTTGTTTTTTTGATACTGAGCTGCATGAGCTGTTTATAAAGTTTGGAGATTAATCCTTTGTCAGCTGCTTCACTTGCAAATACCTTCTCTCATTCTGAGGGTGGTCTTTTCGTTTTGTTTATGCTTTCCTTTGCTGTGCGAAAGCTTTTAAGTTTCATTAGGTCCCATTTGTTTATTTTTGTTTTTATTTTCATTTCTCTAGGAGGTGGGTCAAAAAGATCTTGCTGTGATTTATGTCACTGAGTGTTCTGCCTATGTTTTCCTCTAAGAGTTTTATAATGGCTGGCCTTACATTTAGGTCTTTAATCCATCTGGAGTTTATTTTTGTATATGGTGTTAGGGAGTGTTCTAATTTCATTCTTTTACATGTACCTGTCTGGTTTTCCCAGCACCACTTCTTGAAGAGCCTGTCTTTTCTCCACTGTATATTCTTGCCTCCTTTATCAAAAATAAGGTGACCATATGTGTGTGGGTTTATCTCTGGGCTTCCTATACTGTTTCATTGATCTGTATTTCTATTTTTGTGCCAGTACCATACTGTCTTGATTACTGTAGCTTTGTATTATAGTCTGAAGTCCAGGAGCTTGATTCCTCCAGCTCCGTTTTTCTTTCTCAAGATTGCTTTGGCTACTCAGGGTCTTCTGTGTATCCATACAAATTGTGAAATTCATTCTAGTTCTGTGAAAAATGCCATTGGTAGTTTGATAAGGATTGCACTGAATCTGTAGATTGCGTTGGGTAGTATAGTCATTTTCACAGTGTTGATTCTTCCAATCCAAGAACATGGCATATCTCTCCATCTATTTCTATCAACTTTAATTTCTTTCATCAGTGTCTTATAGTTTTCTGTATGCAGGTCTTTGTCTCCTTAGGTAGGTGTATTCCTATGTATTCTATTTTTTTAGTTGCAGTGGTAAATGGGAGTGTTTCCTTAATTTCTCTTCAGATTTTTCATCATTAGTGCATAGGAATGCAAGAGATTTCTGTGCATTAATTTTATAGCCTGATACTCTACCAAATTCATTGATTAGCTCTACTAGTTTTTCTGGTAGCATCTTTAGGATCCTCTATGTATAGTATCATATTATCTGCGAACAGTGACAGCTTTACTTCTTCTTTTCCAAGTTGGATTCCTTTTACTTCTTTTTCTTCTCTGATTGCTGTGGCTAAAACTTCCAAAACTATGTTGAATAAGAGTGGTGAGAGTGGACAACCTTCTCTTGTTCCTGATCTTAGAGGAAATGGTTTCAGTTTTTCACCATGGAGAACAATGTTGGCTGTGGATTTGTCATATATGGCCTTTATTATGTTGAGGCAACCTCCCTCTATGCCTACTTTCTGGAGGGTTTTATCATGAATGGGTGTTGAATTTTGTCCAAAGGTTTTTCTGCCTCTATTGAGAGGATCGTATGGTTTTTCTCCTTCAATTTGTTAATATGGTTTATCACATTGATAGTTTGCATATATTGAAGAACCCTTGCATTTCTGGGGTAAACCCCACTTGATCATGCTGTATGATCCTTTTAATGTGCTATTGGATTCTGTTTGCTAGCATTTTGTTGAGAATTTTTGGATCTATGTTCATCAGTGACATTGGCCTGTAGTTTTCTTTGTGACATCTTGGATTTTGGTATCAGGGTGATGATGGCATCATAGAATGAGTTTGAGAGTGTTCCTCCCTCTGCTATATTTTGGAAGAGTTTGAGGACAGATGTTAGCTCTTATCTAAATGTTTGACAGAATTCACCTGTGAAGCCATCTGGTCCTGGGCTTTTGTTTGTTGGAAGATTTTTAATCACAGTCTCAATTTCAGTCCTTGTGATTGGTCTGTGTATATTTCCTATTTCTTCCTGGTTCAGTCTGGGAAGGTTGTGCTTTTCTTAGAATTTGTCCATTTCTTCCAGGCTGTCCATTTTATTAGCATACAGTTGCTTGTAGTAATCTCTCATGATCCTTTGTATTTCTGCAGTGTCAGCTGTTACTTCTCCTTTTTCATTTCTAATTCTATTGATTTGAGTCTTCTCCCTTTTTTTCTTGATGAGTCTGGCTAATAGTTTGTCAATTTTGTTTATCTTCTCAAAGAACCAGTTTTTAATTTTACTGATCTTTGCTATTGTTTCTTCATTTCTTTTTCATTTATTTCTGATCTGGTCTTTATGATTTCTTTCCTTCTGCTAACTTTTGGGGTTTTTTGTTCTTCTTTCTCTAATTGCTTTAGGTGTAAGGTTAGGTTGTTTATTTGAGATGTTTCTTGTTTCTAGAGGTAGGATTGTATTGCTATAAACTTCCCTCTTAGAACTGCTTTTGCTGCTTCCCATAGGTTTTAGCTCATCGTGTTTTCATTGTCATTTGTTTCTAGGTATTTTTTAATTTCCTCTTTGATTTCTTCAGTGATCTCTTGGTTATTTAGTAGTGTACTGTTTAACCTCCATGTGTTGGTATTTTTTACAGAATTTTTCCTGCAATTGATACCTAGTCTCATAGCATTGTGGCCAGAAAAG